ACTTCTGGTCCTGGGGAAAGGACTATCAGACTCTCGAGAGACATCATGTCAACTGGCTGCTGGACTGTTTCTAACACATCTGATTCTGTTCAGGGCTAGTGAAACCTGCTAGCTCATGCCTGTTCTTCACTATCCATTATTCCCCAGCTCCTTTCTTCTTCTGGGGTGCGTCCTGTCTCCCACCACCATGAACCTGGGTCGATACTCCCTTCATTCACCCCCTGATTGGAAGCTTCTCAGGGGGGCAGTCACCACCACTCCCCCTCATCTGCCCAGTCCCTGACACGGGTGCATGATTTTGAGGGGGTGTCACAAATGGATCCCCGCCCTGCCTGCCGCCGGGGTCTCTGGGCCCTGGAGCCTAGCCTGGCCTTGCCGCGCCCCCCAGCTCCCTCAGTGAATCCCCACCCGGCCAGCTTTGGGGGGATACGTTGGCTGGCCTGGCTCCCCCCTGCATAGGCAGGTGGTACAGCCTGGCCCTGTGAACCTTCAATGCCCCATGCCCAGCTGTTGGTGAGGGTTGGGCTGGTGTGGCAGGTATTGTTTACCCTCTGCACCCAGCCCCTGGTCCTGCCTGGTGCGCACGCCCATGCCCATGTGCTCACTCCATGGGTGCCAGAGAAGGACACAATGGCACTGCCCTGATGTATTGTAAGGAAGAAAGCAGGCAGTTGGAGGCAGGCTGGAGTTGTTGGGGTAGTGCCTACTTTGCCCCAATGCACCAGCCTCCATTGCTGGAGTCTACATCACTGGCAAATGCAATCTACCCTGGAAACCTCCCCCCAAAATATAAATCCCTAGCTTTCCCCCTGTTATCACCAGTAGCAAGACTCATGTAACTCTAGCCTTTCATCCCCCTCATCCCAGTGGATGGTAATGTTGCTTTGCATAGCCAGCACTGGTATAGTGGACTGCTAACCTCATTTTCCCATCAGCCCCAGGCCTTTTAAACTCCCCTCCAACAACAACACCACCACCACACACACACACACAACCACCACATTTTGCTACCAGTCCGAAGTACTGAAAGTGGAAGTTAGAAGACTGGGAGATGTGGAAATATAAAGGTCTGAGCCAGAAAAGACAGCTGTGGCTTTGGAAGGTGTAATGAGGTAAGTGACCTTACCGTGGTTAATATGAGAATGAAATTTCCCAGGTTTCTGCCTTCTTTCATGGTGATACATTATGCATGGCCTCTTTAAAAGAGGCAATTTACCAGCCTTCCCTCTGCTGATTCTGCAGGGATAGCTGCATCATTATTAATTTTAAGGGCAAATTTGGTCCACCTATTGGAAAAGCTTTAAAATCTGCTCCTAGATTTGTGGCATTTAACTCTGCAAATATTAGGGTTGCTACAGTTATTTGCAATGCTTTTTTAAAAAGAAAAAGAAGAAGAAGAAAACGCCAGTATTTATCATGAGGTTGTTATACTTTTAACATTTTGGGGGTACAGCATAACCTTGAGCACCCCAAGGGGGGGGGACACTGGTTATTTGTTATAATTGCATCTGGTCCTCCCCTCCCCCCACCACACCCAGGAAGGAGATGGGCACAAGTCACTTGGGATTCCCAGACATGGGACTATATAGGATTTCCTATATAGCCAAAGATGCTGGCTAGGTCCGGATTTGCTTCTTTTCAAACATGGCAAAACAACAGGTGCCTTCAAACCATTCTCTGGACCCTCAGATTACAGGGCCATTTTAAAAAATGTCAGGGCACAATCCATCGCAGGAGTCTTCCCCCAATGTTGTCCCATCTGGCTGTCCACACATATATGCATTCACCACTACAGGGGCAAGGAAGTCTGAGCACATTTCTGCCTTGTGCATTTGATTGGTCATTGCTTTGCTCTTCAGGATCCCAGCTTGCAGCCTAATCAAGACCTGAACTCAAGTTACTCGTGAGCAAGGACCAGGGTAAACAAATAGCAAATGCTGGAATAGTGGTCTGGAAGGAAACATGCAACTCCCATACATAATAATAGAGTGCTCTGCCCTGAGACCTCTGGGTATAGGACAGTATATAAATAATAACAGTAACAACAACAACAACAACAATAATAATAATAGGTGTATGGTTCATGGATCCAGCTGGAAAGCGGGTAAATGTCTGTTTATATCTGCCATGACCGCAGCCAGGATGATTTATGCTCAGCAAGGGAAAGAAGATTCTGTACCAACCAAGGAGGAGTGGCAGACTAAATTAATGGATTATGCCGAAATGGCAAAACTTACAGAAGCAATCAGGAACCAAGGGGCGGGGGGGCGGGGAACCCTTATAAAAGACTGGGGAAGATTTGTGGATTATCTGAAATGTTATTGTATATATTTAAATCCACTAGCAGGATTAACTTAAACCAAACCGTTAAAATTAATGTTAAAAGATAACTAGGGAGTCATTATTAATTGGAGTAATGAAGGAAATGCAGGGTTATAAAATTTTAAAATGTAAGGTGAAATCAAAATACATACATTTGTCGGGAAATTGTATTTGTGTCAAAATATTTCTAGAAAAAATGAATGTATATATATGAATGAAAGCAGGGAAATGTCAGCTGATCTCTGCACAAGAATGAATCATGCTAGAGGTAGTTTGAGAGTAGTGTGACCGGTGCAGTCGCACTAGGCGTCACACTGCAGGGGGTGCCAAAGCAAAAAAAACCAACAGAAACGAGAGGAGGAGATGAAATTCAGATGCAGTGACATTGACCCCATAGCAGGAAGTTTCATGTCCCTGATCTATTGAAACAAACTATAGATAGTGTCACAGCTGTGATCATACTAGCGACTAGTTTTTTTCTAGAAGCAACTTTCCAATGCTTTAGACTGCATTGGCTGATCAAGTCTGTCTTTGTGGCATATGAGATCAGGTAAGTAGCTTTCCGATTTATGGTAAATCTTACAATATTTTTTTAGCCTTAGAGGCAGAGCAGGATGAGAAGATTATTGCCAGATTCTGTTGGCAAGCAAAGTCACTGCGCCTGCTTTTAACTAACGAGCCTGTCTGAGATAGGCCCTTTAATTTCAGCTCTGCAGTAGATAAACTGCAGTGAGCGATGAGCATTTCAGTCTTAACAACCCAAAAGTTATATAAGAAGTCAGGGATGTTTAATTGATCTGATAGGCATAAGAATGGAGGTTTTCTTGGATTGAAAAGCTGGAAGCAGTACACCGTAAAACTTTTCTCTGCTGCGGTGCGAACAGGTGCTTTCTTCCATCCCAAAATACTGCTGGCATGGAGGGCAAGAGATGGAGAAAGTACAGTGGTACCTCAGGTTACATATGCTTCAGATTACATACGCTTCAGGTTACAGACTCCGCTAACCCAGAAATAGTACCTCGGGTTAAGAACTTTGCTTCAGGATGAGAACAGAAATTGTGCCCCGGTGGCACGGCGGCAGCAGGAGGCCCCATTAGCTAAAGTGGTGCTTCAGGTTAAGAACAGTTTCAGGTTAAGAACAGACCTCCGGAGTGAATTAAGTACTTAACCCGAGGTACCACTGTACTTGTTTCTTACCTCCAACTCAAATATCGTCTCCCAGTAGCATTCTTCCTAGGCTGAGCATGTGTGCAGTCTGCTAGTGCTTTTGGGTCCTTCCTGGTAAAGAAGGATCATATCCTATTCTCTTTCAGCAAACTGAAGTTCCAGGACCATGTTTCAAAGTACTGTAGGTTTAGGTAGGCTGTGGGTTTAGGCAGACCTTCTACCTGTGATGCATTTTTTGGCTGGAGGTGACTGTAGTTTGTTAAGGGTGATGCACAGTGGCGTAGCATGGCTTGCCAGTGCCCAGGGTCACGTGGAGGGAGGGAAACATACACAGTACACATGCACATTCAACTGTCTAGTGGTGTCTGTGTCACCCAGCAGAACACAGCTGTAGAGATAAGATAAGAAAAGAAGAGTTGTTCTGTTGTCTGATGGGTCACCTCCTAGCTTGCCGGAGAAGCCATTTTCAACAGAGCCCAGTGACGGAAGTGTGTGACTGTATTGAGGCAGAACCGGGTGTTGACATTTTGTGCCCCCTAACAATTTTGCACCCCCCACTACACCAGTGGTGAAGGGGAAACTACAGTGAGGGGTAAACTGCAACTCCCAGGATTATTTTGGGGAAGGCATGTGCTTTCAGTGTATGGAGTGCGCACAGCCCCAGGCAGAAAAGGGAGATGTCAGCAGGCTTGGGAGAATCACAAGGTTTTCAACAGTACAAAATTCTTAGGGTGCAGGGGAACTTAAAAAGGTAAAGGGTCCATTAGGTCCAGTCGTGACCGACTCTGGGGTTGCGGCGCTCATCTCGCTTTATTGGCTGAGGGAGCTGGCGGACAGCTTCCGGGTCATGTGGCCAGCATGACTAAGCTGCTTCTGGTGAACCAGAGAAGCGCCCAGAAATGCCGTTTACCTTCCTGCTGGAGCGGTACGTATTTATCTACTTGCACTTTGACGTGCTTTCGAACTGCTAGGTTGGCAGGAGCAGGTACGAGCAACGGGAGCTCACCCCGTCGCGGGGATTTGAACCGCCGACCTTCTGATCGGCAAGTCCTAGGCTCTGTGGTTTAACCCACAGCGACAAAAAAATGAAACCCCAAACAGCCCAATGAAACCAGAATACAGCCCCAAACCAGAAAACAGAGTGAAATGGAGCAGCTGAACAGAGAGGACCCCGCTGTCACATTTTGTTGCATTTTGTCCTCCTTGTGAAAAGGTTTTACAGATTTCATAGTTCCTCTCCTCATTTCAAACCCATTAACATCTGCTGCTGGCACCACACACATTCTTATTTCATCGAGAACTGACAAGCCGGTTCATCCAGGAGCTTGTTGGATGGATTCATGCAGAGAGAGAGAGAGAAACCCTGGGCCATGCCAAGTGGAAGCCCTATGTGGTAAACATTTTATGAAAATAAGAGGGAAGAGGTGCTAGCATATTATAGTTAACAGCAACAGATCTCAGGAGCTGCTGAATCTGAAGAGAATGAGCACAGAAGAGCCCGGAACAAAGGGTCATCGTTTAGGATCCAATCCAATTCTTATTAAGAGTCATTTACAGCCTTTTCATTGACTTTAATGGGAATTGGACTGGCTCCTAAATTAGGAAGGTTATTGTGAGGGAGACCCATCAGTGGGATGGAGCAAAGCCAGCCAAGTATCATTAGCTGCAGAAGCTGAGAGTGTCTGAGAGTGTTGGAACAATCATCATGGATGATTAATCAAGGCTATGATCCTAGGCAAATGTACTGTAAATCAGAAGGCAACTGAGCCCCGCAAATTGGCCCACGCTGTTGTAGGATGCACAGCAGATTATGCTATGGGACCTCCTGAAGTGAAGGCTACGGTCTTTATTTATGAATTGGGATTTTGCTTAGCGAAGTCCACAAGGCATTGCTCCTCCACATAAGTCCTGTGGCAGACCCAGACTTGGTCAGTGGGGAACGATGGGCACAAACAGACTGAAAATAAGTTCATTGATACAGTGGTACCTTGGGTTACATATGCTTCAGGTTACATACGCTTCAGGTTACAGACTCCTCTAACTCAGAAATAGTACCTCGGGTTAAGAACTTTGCTTCAGGATGAGAACAGAAATTGTGCTCCGGCAGCGTGGCAGCAGCAGGAGGCCCCATTAGCTAAAGTGGTGCTTCAGGTTAAGAACAGTTTCAGGTTAAGAACGGACCTCCGGAACGAATTAAGTACTTAACCTGAGGTACCACTGTAGTTCTTAGGAAACCAAAAGAAGAAAAATATGTGCCAAAACCAGCAAGCATCTGAGGATGACATGCAAAAAAAGAAAAGAAAAAATGAATCTCACAGATACCAAAACTGGGATGAGTTCTATGTGCCCTACACATTTTGGCCAAAAACGCCTTTGGCAGGGGCTTATCTAAGAAGATAATAACATAAGATTCATTAAACAATATAAAGCAGCATGGAAATGAAATGAATAATAATAATAACATTAATACCCAAAGGAGCGTCTCCACCCACATCATTCAGCTCGAGGTCCAGCTCTCAGGGTCTTCTGGCAGTTCCCTCACTGCAAGAAGTGAAGTTACAGGGAACCAGACGGAGGGCCTTCTCGGTAGTGGCGCCCGCCCTGTGGAACGCCCTCCCGTCAGATGTCAAGGAAATAAACAACTATCTGACTTTTAGAAGACATCTAAAGACAGCCCTGTTTAGGGAAGTTTTAAATGTTTGATGTTTTACCATGATTTTAATATTCTGTTGGGAGCCGCCTAGAGTGGCTGGGGAGACCTGGCCAGATTGGTGGGGTATAAATAATAAATTATTATTATTATTATTATTATTATTATTATTATTATTATTACAATAATAAAATTAAGACTCAAAGGCCTGGTTGAATAAAAATGGCACCTAGTAACAGTAATGACACCAGGCATGGCTCCCTGGGGACAGCATTCCACAAACGAGAAGCTATCACTAAGAAGAGAGGGCATGCAAATAAGTGCCTTTGATAAAGAACTCGGGCCCTAGGTGGGTTCCTGTGAGGAGATGTGGTCCTTGAGGTACTGGAGTCCTGAGATGCATTTGGCTTTATAGGTCAAAACCTGTACCGGGCCTGGAAACTAACTGGTAGCCAACACAGTCATGGCAGGCTTGGTGTTCTATGTTTAGACCGTCTTGCCCTGGTCAGCAATCTAGCCACTGAATTCTACAGCAACTTCAGCTTTCAAACTACCATATTTTTCGCTCTATAAGACGCACCAGATCAGAAGATGCACCTAGTTTTTGCAGGAGGAAAACAAGAAAAAAAATATTCTGAATCTCAGAAGCCAGAACAGCAAGAGGGATCGCTACGCAATGAAAGCAGCAATCCCTCTTGCTGTTCTGGCTTCTGGGATAGCTGTGCAGCCTGCATTCGCTCCATAAGATGCACACACATTTCCCCTTACTTTTTAGGAGGGAAAAAGTGAGTCTTATAGAGCAAAAAATACGGTATCTTCAAGGGCAGTCCCAAGTGTAACACATTGCAGTAATCTAACCTAGAAGTTACCTGAACCTTAACAATGGAAGTTAGGCTATTCCTGCCCAGAAACTTGTAGCCCAGACATAGATGACATAGCAATGAATATGAAGGAATGAACACAAATAAGTGTATCTCTAGGCCAATTAAGCTCACAGAGCAGCTAAACTCTGAAAGAAAGTTGAGCAGATCAACATTTTGGGGGAATCCTTGGCTTATGGGGTAAATGTTGCTTCCTCTGGTTGCTCGTTGTTGCTCATTTACTGTGGGAAGAAACGGACCCTGCCTCTGAACCTTTACTTTTGTTCATGGCTACAATAATTTGCTTTGTGCCTTAGAGCTAATAATACAACATCTCAGTTCTTCAGCTAACACATCTTGTAAATGGGAGACATTAATACTTTCATACCCCAGTGTGCTATATTCATTAATACTGATACGCTGCCTTTGGAGGTAAATTGCTGAACCTTATTATAATCTATCTTTCACAAGCATCATCCATTCTGCAAAATTACAAAAGTGTTGAAGCCTTTTAATTAAAGAGTAAATTCACAAAGTGCACCATCAGCTTTCTAAACTTTCAGACTACAGAGTAACAGTTAACAGCATCTCGCTTCTAGGCAACAATTTATATTTTACCTTTTGTTCTGGGGTGGGGGGAATTATGTTTCTAGTCCCTAAGATTACGAATTTAGGCTGGCTCAATGCATTTCCCTTCCAGTGCACTGTTGTAGCACTTTGGAGCTAAAAAAAGAAAGAAAAAGCATTCATAGAATGCAGATTTATCATTTATTTAAAGCTCTGTTCTCTGAAAGCTGTGTTATCTGCCTACGGCACCCATAGCACCACATTTAAAAGAAGAATAAGAACATTAAAACCATACATAACTACATAATACATAATAAACAACAGCCAGCAGACTTCTTTTTTAAAAAAAGAGAGAGGCATAAACTGCTGTGTAGTTTCAAATCATAGCCTGTCGAAAGACATTATTTAGAAGACTAAATATCAGTAATGAAGAATCAGGCAAACTTCAGTACACAATTTCAATCCTGATTTTTTTTGGGGGGGGAATAAACCAGTACATTTTATTATTTTGCAATTGTTGTTTGGAAAAAATACAAACGTTTTTCCCCTCTGGATTTGCTCTCGGTCACATACACCTTTTCTATTTCCTGTTTAACCCTTATAGATGTTCCGTGTTTGATCTCTGCAGGAAAGAAGAATGTTTGGGAAGCTTCAGTAAAAACCATTCAGCTATTACTATTTTTAGTTATTTGAGTACAAGGGTAGTGGATGGAAACACAGTATTCTTTGTTTGATAAAAGACACAGCTAGGAAACATGCCCCTAGCCAATAGTTCTGGGTTTCTGAAAGTTGGTAGACAATTGGTACTTTGTCACCATTTTTCTTTGTGTGGTAAAATTGTGTTTGACTTTTCTTTCTTTCTTTCTTTCTTTCTTTCTTTCTTTCTTTCTTTCTTTCTTTCTTTTGTGAGAATTATGAGTACAGGCAACTCTCAATTTACACAGGGGTTACATTCCGAGGTACCATGCGTTTAAGTGAAGTCGCATATATTGGGAACGCCATTGAAAAAGCCTGCAAACAACACAATCGCTCTCTCCAACCCTTCTTGCTGAAACTCCAACTCTCCACAGTCCTCAAAGTTCAGTACAAGGGCTCTTGGAATTGCACTTGCAAAGGCTCGTGGGATTGGCAGCCACTGCTTTTGCACCATTTTTTGCCATTTTCACACCCCTTCTTGTGCCACTTTCGGGTTTGCGGTGATGCGTTTGTGTGTGGTTGTGCAAGCCTTGAGCATCAATAAATGAGAGATTGACTTACTGGGCAAGTACTAGATTCTTCAAAGGACTATTTCTAATTATACTAACAGTTGGTACTGGAGGAAACCATACATTCTATGTCTATAAATATTTTGCTAACTAACTTGAGAGCCCAAAATATTTATCGGAAATAAGAAGCAGGCCAGGTTTTCCCCCGCCTGCCATTTTTCCTTTTCACCACAGCCATGGAAGCTTCAAGCTCAAGTGGAAAAATAGTATATGAGAGAGGTAAGTCTTTTTAAATCTTTCCCCTCCTGTGGATTTTTTTAGTTAAAACCACTCCTTGCATTCTTCTTTCCTGTGATACTCAGGTTTTCTTGTGTGGAAAACAAAAAAACAGCTGGGGTGAGGTACCCTATAGAGAGCATCCTGGTTGTGAGCCCTGGAAGACCTGCTCCCTGCCTTGCTAACCTCTTTCCACCTGGCCTGGGAGGGTGGAGCCCTGACTGACTCCAGCTACAAAAGCTGAAGTGGCTGAACAGAATATTGGGTTAGGATTTTGTTGGGGGGGGGCGTTTTTGGTGGAACAGGAGTTGTTACTGTTGTTGATGTTCATTTTCCCTCAAAGAGTGTGGGCACTGTACTTCACTTTTCACGGGGTTACAATTCTCAGCAACCCTTAACAAACAACAATATAGTGGTACCTCGGGTTACATACGCTTCAGGTTACATACGCTTCAGGTTAAAGACTCCGCTAACCCAGAAATAGTGCTTCAGGTTAAGAACTTTGCTTCAGGATGAGAACAGAAATCGTGCTCCGGTGGTACGGTGGCAGCGGGAGGCCCCATTAGCTAAAGTGGTGCTTCAGGTTAAGAACAGTTTCAGGTTAAGTACGGACCTCCAGAACGAATTAAGTACTTAACCCGAGGTACCACTGTACGCAGAATTCTTTGAGAGGGAAATGTGCTTTTGAATGTGCTCTAAGTAGGGTTGCCATACGTCCGGAATTTCCTGGACATAGACAGCAATCGACCGTCGGAAACAGTGTCCAGATGGAAATCACAGTGATGTCCAGGAAAATCTGGATGTATGGCAACACACGTCGGCAATGTCATTTTTGGTGACTTCCCTTAAAAACAGCTCAAAAACTTATGGTAAATTATTTTGAGATTTCACAACTAAAGCTCAACAACTCTGCAACCCCCCCCCCCAAAAAAAACTCAACAGCTTTTCTGTCTGTATTTTCACTTTTTGCAATATGGCAACCCTAGTTTTCAAGGTATAATATGTATGCAGCTCCATTGAGTTTTATGCCTGTAACTGTTACACCA